TTTTTTTTAATGTTGTTTTTGAAATTAAAGAGTTCGCGCCACACTCCAGCAAACACTGAAGCCGTCACACTCTGACCAAAAGCCACTGACTCATATTCTTTGGACATGTGGGGGCGGGGAGGGGGGTTCAGGACCTGGACCCCAGGAATGTGAACACAGGGTGGGGAAACCCACTTGCCAAGCAGGCGTCTCCCAATGCAGACAGAGCGTGTCCAAAATTCACCCACAGATGACGTGTGAAAGAAGCCAGCTTCCTACGGGATTCCTAAACTCTTGATTTTAGTTATGCCTTAAATTTGGAGAACGTGGACACTCCCGTGATTGAAAGATCTTCGTGTTGGGCTGTCCATGAGTGCCTGTGAGATGGCAATAGGTTGGAATTGACACCTACATTAGAAGGGACAGCCTCCCTGCTGGCTGCAGCCTGTGAAATGTGGGCTGTAGAAAGACAAGCCAATGGCTCAGTTCCTGACGGATGAGTCAGCACCAAGTGATGGGTTCCCAGCTGTGAGCGGGTGTCTTGTTCTTGAGAATGTCTGAGGCCACACCCAGGGCTGTTGACCGTTCCTTCTTAGAAAGCTGAACTGTCAGTAGGAACTCTGCGCAGCGCCTCCAAAGGCTTCAGGTCCAAAATGTGCATCCCTCACACACGCAGTAGGAGACCCTATCATTTCTAATCCCCATCCTGAATTTTCTGACTTTGAGGGCAGCTGGAAGCTAGCCTCGCTGCATGGCTGTTCTGGTTTTGTTCCAAATGTGGGCTGGAGATGTCTTAGAAGTCCTGTCGCTGATGCCAATATAAAAATATCTGTTTAAGTGACAGTATTATGCTCCTTTAGGAGAGAAGCATGAAATGCCTATAATTTACAGAAATGGCAACCTCAAGGAAAAGAGTCAGGGCCTCTGATGTCGCAAATTTTTAAAAAAATTAAATTCAGCTTTGGCATTTATTGTCATTATTTCCAATCATGTTTATTTAAACTTATTTGTATAAGAAAAAAATGACCGTCTCTTGACTGTCTGGCTGCCCATCAGATACCAGGCTCTTTGCCAGGGACAGACACAGCTCCATGCCACGCGGCTGCCCTGAAGCCAGGGAGCAGAGGTGGCCCTGAGGCAAGGAGGCGCAGCCCGCAGTCTGATGGCTGGTGGACAAATGCTTCGTTAGCTGTCACAAAAGGGAAGGGAGATTGCTGTTCTGGGCACTAATGCAATTGCTGGCAATGAGCCTGGTCCAGCTCAATCCAATAGCCCATCCCACCTGCTCCCCGCCAGTAACTGGGGGCCGAGTTAAAACCTGCCCTGCCCCCTGCCTGTGCTTCCCCCACACGGTGACGTGGGTGCACACAGGGGCCTGGACTCTGTCCTTCAGGCATCTGCAAACTGGGGCCAAGATGTCAATTTTGGCACAAAAGACAGGAGGACAAGAGGGAGCTGAAGCATCAGTCCCACCTGCTGTCTTCCCGGACGGTCGCTCCAGCTGGAATCCTGCACCACCTCAGTCAGGCAGTGATGTGTGCTCAGTGTCCTCGACTCGGGTCTATAGCCAAGTTAATGCGCCTTAATTCTCTTGCATGGTGACATGAGGAAAAGACAGACAACGCCTTTTGTATTTACAGTTTTTAAAACTTCTTCTTCCCCATCAGGAAATACAGAGGATGACTGAGGAAAACAAATGCTTGAACTGTCTACTCACGTGTAAATCAAGATGGCAAACTACCTCCCTGGACCTGTTTTTTCAGGACATCAATAAGAAACTCGCATTTACGCAGCAGAGGGTAGGTAAACAGTAACGCAGAGACTTTCTGCGGCACTGCCACTCAGGCACAGCAGAGCCAGGAGCACAAGGGTTCGTGAGGCCAGCGTGCAGCCTACTGAGTCAACAGTGAACGAGCGGAAGCCTGCAGAGGGCTTTCAGGATCGTTAAGACATCGCAGCACTTCTGCCCTGCACTATGCAGCGGCTGCCCACTGAGGCTGGGTAACATGGCGCTCCCAATCCCGAGGCTGAAAGCCCTGCTTCCAGCTCTCTGGCTGCAGGCCCTGCACCCCACCCCATGTAGCATCACCCCCAACTCCCCCATCCAAACACTACAGGCTTTCCTCCCCGCGAGGAGTCCCCACTCCCTGTCCCTCTGCCTGGAACACCCTGGTCTGCCTGTGGCCAGCTCCGCCAGCTCCGCCTACGAGAGGCCCCGTCTCACCACCCCAAGGTGTCCCCACTGCCCACCCCACAGTGCTGTTCCGTCTTTGAGTCTATCGCCTACTTTACCATTTGCATGAGTAACAGACACTGCAGTGACCTTCTCCTTCCTCTTTTCTAACAAAACCTAGCTTTTGTTAGAAGC